AAGCGACCATGTTGACTCACCTCCTCTGGATGACGAAATAGGAAAATCCACAATTACTGTGTAGGAATCTGCAGTGGTTCGTATCTACGACATGAGGGTAGCATGGCGGAACGGCAGGCAGAGAGACAGATACTACCGGCCGGAACAACAAGCGTTAATCTACCTGCAAAATAAGCCTCTGAGGAGCCTGCTCTGCTCTCCTTAAAGGTGTTGTCAAGCCATTTGGCCATTCTGCCTGCAGCCCCTCCGTTGAGCGTTCTACCACAACTGGTAGTTATAATTATCCGCAAAGGCCAAAAATGAGCTTAGTTCACAACCTCCACGTGAGATGATCAGGAAGGCTTGATCAAGAATTTTGTGAAACTATTCCAGAGGAAGAATATCTTGATCATGGTGGAATTCTTTCCAAAGTGCCTTCACATGTTTTTAGTGTCAATCTCTAACTTCTGCTGCTATATGCTACTTATTCACCGCAAGCCGGTAGCCGGTTTCTACTGTTTATGATAGGAGACCTGCATCTGTGTTTGAAGACCTTGTCAAAAGGCCCTGTAACTAGGCTGCCAGCCCTTAAGCCTTGATGAAGAATTCCTATTGGCAGCTGAGGATGGCCTAAGGTGGGCTGAGGGAGAAAACGAACCATCGCTCAGTAAGCTGTTAACGTGCCCACAACTGGAGCCACCTGTGACCGCCCAGTATTAATTGCGGTACTAGCTCAAGATAAATGTCTTTATGCAAATTTAAGCGTTTATAAGATCAACTTGCATCTTGAAATAGTTGTTACTGGTTGACTGCCTACCATGTACCAGGTTCTGTGTTAAGATCCTTGCATATATTATCACATTTAAGTTCTCATAAAAACACGTAACAACAGCTAACACTTATTTAATCATCACTGTATGACAGACTGTATAGACAGCTTTGCATACACATCTCAACCCTGATTATACCATTTAATGTGGCTGTTGCTATTATTCTTCTCTAACAAAACAGGAAACTGGGCTATAGTCAGAGTGGGAAACATGAACTTGTCACATAGTAACCGAGACGGCCCTCCAGAGCTTGTGTTTCTAGCCACTTCACAGAGATGCCTCTCTGTCAGATGGTTGGACTGGTTGCCATCACTTTACCATTCGGCATGTAACTTTTCTCAAGGCCACAATGTTAGGAAATGGTAAAGAGCATGATGGGTGCACCTCTCTCAAACCCTGGGCCTGCTTTGCCAGTTCACCAATTGCTTTCCTGTTCTAGACAGTTCTGTTTATATATGTTCTTCAATAGTCTGTATGTAAGGTTTAAAATTTTTAAAGAAATTATAGAGCAGGGGAAAATGAGGGTTTCTGCTACTGTCAATGAAGCAATGGAAACTGAATTATGCAATATTGAGCCTTAAGATGAGCCAGCAAATCATCATTCCTACCTAAATCAGCTGAGAACCTTCTCCCTAAAGGGAGGCTTGGTCCTGGTAGAGCCACAGAACACTTCTTTTGGATTACATACTTTTCTTTTTTTTTTTAAATTTTTTTTTAACGTTTATTTATTTTTGAGAGAGACAGAGACAGGATGTGAGTGGGTTAGGGGCAGAAAGAGAGGGAGACACAGAATCCAAAGTAGGCTCCAGGCTCTGAGCTGTCAGCACTGAGCCCGACGCGGGGCTTGAACTCACAAGCTGTGAGATCATGACCTGAGCCGAAGTCAGACACCCAACCGACTGAGCCACCCAGGCACCCCTACATACTTTTCTTTATACTGTTCTGTATTTTCTAAATTTTCTACAATGAAAGTGTTACTTTTTAAACTAAATGGTCACAGGTAATGCTGAATACATTCTCATGTTAAACATTCCACACAAAGCCCTTACCTTAAACGCTCACCTTCCACTCCCCTATTCTAGACCTCCTTTCTAGAGGTAATCATAATTTATTTAAAAAAATTTTTTTTTTCAACGTTTATTTATTTTTGGGACAGAGAGAGACAGAGCATGAACGGGGGAGGGGCAGAGAGAGAGGGAGACACAGAATCAGAAACAGGCTCCAGTCTCCGAGCCATCAGCCCAGAGCCTGACGCGGGGCTCGAACTCACGGACCGCGAGATCGTGACCTGGCTGAAGTCGGACGCTTAACCGACTGCGCCACCCAGGCGCCCCGGTAATCATAATTTATAAGTTTGTATGAATTCTTTTGCATGACGGACTGCACTGTCCTATAAAGAAATCACTACCCATATGTGGCTATTGAACACTTGAAATGCCCCAGTTCAAATTGAAATGTACTTGTAAGCATAAAATACACATGAAATTTAAAGACCAAATATGAAAAAGAGTGTAAAATAACCTCATATAATTTTTACACTGATCACATGTTGAAATGACAGTATTTTAGATGCACTGAGTTAAATAAATCAAAATAAATAAAGTGTAGTATTAAATTAATGTCATGTTTCTTTTGATCTTTTTAAATATAGGTACTAGAAAATGTGGCTTAAATTATATTTCTATTGGCCAGAACTGCTCTGAAGTCTAGATTACGTTTAGTATGTTTACATACTTACATATAGAAATATATAGTTTTTGTATGCATTACTTTCACACTTGGACTAAAAATGTTTTTCTTAAAAGAGTATAATCTTGAAATGCATTGAGCATTAAATTAATTCCTTTTCCCCTTCCTTTCTCTTCCCCACCCTACCCACCACCTCCAACACACATACTTCTTGACAACCAAAAAAGCCTCAGAGTGAAGAAAGCAATAATTATTCTTGACCATACAAATGCTGAAGTGGGAACACCTGATAACTGGATTAAGTCAACCCAGGCACAGAGTAACAAAAGGGTATCTCCTTTTTGGATAAAAGAAAGTGCTAGTCAATGGAGGAAGGCTTTAGAGTTAGTGGGTCCCAGACAAAAGACATAGGAAATAGCTACATTTGCCAAAAATGACCAGTAGTTATTTTTAAATAACTAGATCCAAATTTGTTATTCTTGTCATCTATTCCTCTCAGATTTTTTTTTCCAGAAAGTGTAGTTCCATTACTTTATGTTGGGTGACTATGTACTACTAACTACTTTTCCATTTGATCAATATTGTCTATAAAGCACCACCTCAGTTCAGCTACTGATAGTTGCTGGAAATAAATGCTGACATATGTGACCACCTCTGACTTGTTGGAGGCTATAAGGTACCCAAAATTTTTGTTTGGTCTAAGCAAATATCTAAAAGTGAATCTAGTTCAGAAGATTCTGCAAGGAAATGACCCCAAACAGGTGTCTGTTCTCCCCCACTTAAAAAATGCCTGCCTGCATACACATAAACAATTTATACACACCACACTGTTCTAAGTGAACTGGGAACACGTTCACATGCAGCATTCTTGTGTTAGGCTGGAAGGGTGTTTACCATGTTTTAGCAAGGCCTTAGCACATGCAACACATTAGCAATTATTACTTGGCCTCAGTGTAGAACCTCCTTGAGGGCAGAGGAGAGAAAAGAACATTAGGCATGAGCAGAGGTGCTGTGATAACTCATTATTTTCATTCCCATGAGTGCTCCTTGGTGCTCTGTCCCATTTGCGTCCCTCTGGTTACGTGCTACCTTGATAAAGGACGGTAGTTGAATACCTGTTTTCCTCTGCCCCCCTCTTGCTGCCCTGATAAACTTCCCAATGACTAAAATGAGGCCATCCAGGGGAGGAGCTCCAAAATTTTCTTCTAGTTGGTAATTCTGCTTGTCTAACAAATCAAAATTTCCTTGAACAGATTTCATGGGGGCTGCTCCATTTCGATAGGGCATTGGAAAAGCGTTTCTTCTCTTTTCTTCCTATTCCTTACCACCTTTTTCCTTCATTCAAGGAAATAGAAAACAAAACAGAAACAAAGACCAGGGCAATACAGCAATTGTCAATCTTTTCCAAAGTGCTCTATATATCACTTTAATTAAGGCAACGTTTTGAAACTTAAAAAAAAAATCACCCTTAATTAGGATTGACTTCATCTGAGTGGAGAGCATCTGCTGAAGCAGCCCAACCCTGTCCCCCTTGGGTCTTGGCAGCTACAGGTGAGCTGGGCCCCCTTCTCCTTTCCCACACCCCTGCTTAAGAAGTTGCCAGGGAGCTCTCAGGCAGTATCAGCAGGCAGGAAGCAGGGTGGGAGTGAGGGGGGTCTCCACCCATTAGCAGCTGCTTAAGTAGTAGGCAGGGGAACTATTCTACAGAGAACTTCAGGTCAGCAGATACTCCAAGGCAATTTACACCACATGCTACCCAGTTGTGGAATTAAATTAAAATGCTGAGGAAGGACCTGGAATGCCAATCTCCTTTTCTCCCTACCTTGTGCTTGGCACCCAAAAGAATAAAACAAGAACAGTTGGACTTGGGGGTTTTAAGGGAATTATTAGGCAACTGGGAGGAAGTGAAGGCAGCATACACCAAGGGAAGCTGTCTTCATGGAGCATCATGTACCAGTGATTAAATGTCAGGACCCATCATTGTCCAAAGGGTGACGTCTATACAGGTTTAGTAACTTGCTCATTCCAATTAAACCAAAAGACAAGCTTGACAGATTATCAGAATCTTTGGGGGAAGGAGGTGGGTGGAGTGGAGAAAGGAGTGAGGTAATTTTAAAAAATGACTTCATAATTTTTTTAAAAGGCACAATATTCTCACCTCAGTGATGTTTGCTTCAATCTTTTCCAGTATAATATGAAATAGAAGTTTTGCCAAAAGTAGGGAAAACATTTCCAAATAAGTCACTATAGATTACATTACAAATCTAAAATAAAAACAGGTAAACATGTGTTTGCCCATCAGACTTTAGTATATTTTTGTTAACACTTTCCTTGTGGAAGAAATTTGACTTTTTCTTACGTTACTTCCTTAACAATAATTTGCTACAGCTTTAACAAGTGAGTAAGAGCTGGGCTCATAATTATATATATATACATATACACCCACTATATATAAAAAAATTTTTATGTTCCCTCACCAATAGGAAAACATTAAGTGATTACCTCTGTAAATTTGTTCCGATTCGCTTGCAAGCCAACCTTTACTACCTCAAAAGGGTTAACCACGATAGCTTCTGTTAGTCCAGATCCTAATCCAGCAATGGCAAATGTCTATCAAAAATGAAATCAATCAATATTTTAAAACAAGTTATGTGTACTAGGTTAAACATCCTACTCGTTACACTCTGCAGCTGAATGTTATGTTGAGAATGAAGAAACTTACATAAATGCACCATATACCATTACTAAACAGCTTTAGTTCTTGATTAGATGCTGACAATTCATGAAGAAGAAATTACAGAAGCCACAAACCACATCCTAACAATTCAAAATAAAATGTCAAAGCCCCATCAACAACGACTTTTTCCTTAATGAAAAGAAAGGTTGTTTTAGTGATTTAAGGTGGATACTAAAACATCTGCACATGTAACAATTAAAAGAGAGTTTGGCCTGTAAAAGGAGAGCTTCATTTTTAAAACAGCTAACTTAAATCCTTACTGAGCATCTAAAAAAATTCAAGGAGCAGAATCAAAAATAAAATGTTTATAAAAAGCTGAGTTTCAGGTGACCAAACACTGCAGCTGAAAACATTTAAATGTATAGCCCTGTTGTTAGAATCACTATTCTAGATAATTAACAAAAAATTTTTATTCATCCTTTCCCTATTAAAAAAAACAGACAACCGCCCTATTCTTCTAGCCATAGAAGCTGAGGAATAAAAGTTGAGATCAGAAATGGCTAGGTTGTTCTGAAGGCTCAGCTAAAATCTAGAACATCAAAGGATGATGTCAGGTTCTTACTTGCTCTCAATTAAGAATTTCTGCAAGAAATTAAAAAAGAACAACTTTCTAGAATTTTCCTCAAAGTAAAATGCTTAAGGGTTTTTCAGAAAATCTGTATCGAAAATAACCAGAACAGGGGCACCTGGGTGGCTCAGTCCATTGAACATCTGACTTCAGCTCAGGTCATGATCTCACGGCTCTGAGTTAGAGGCCTGCAACTGGCTCTGTGCTGACAGCTCAGAGCCTGGAGCCTGCTTTGGATTCTGTGTCTCCCTCTCTGCCCCTCCCCGGCTCATGTTTTGTCTCTCTCAAAAATAAAATGTTTAAAAAATTTTTTTAAAAGTTAACCAGAACAATTAACACACACACACACACACACACACACACACACACTCCAGAAAAACAAAATGAAATAAAGCCTCAAATCTCCAAAACAGATGCTGAAAAAAAAATCCTTTAGCGCTGAAGCTCTAATTCCAGAAGAGGTGATAGTATATACAACCAAAAGAAGAAAAAAGCCAATGAAGAGCAAAGAACACATAACTCTTACCAGGGGTTTCTAATTTCTTCAAATAGGAGACCAAAAGAGAAAAGAGACAGGAATATTTCATAACCTTGGAAGAAAAGGCAAGATAGAACAAGGGAGCATCCAGAGCCAGGAGGTCTGAGTTTAGGTCCTGGTCGTGCCACTGATTGGATGTATGACCACAGCTGCCATGTACAGTAGTTTGTGCACAGAAAAAGGGGTGTGTGTGTGTGTGTGTGTGTGTGTGTGTGTGCATCTGAAATCCAGCCTGCATCCCACTTGCCAAGCTGGACCTCTGGAGAGGTATCAGTCAGGAGAAAGGGCGCCTTTTCACAACTCACACAAAGGTAACATGTGCTAGCGGCAGCTCTGTGTCTAAATCACTGAACCTTTCATAAGCCATGGTTTTCTCATCTGTAAAATGGGGACAATGCTATCTAATCTCCCTAACTCATAAGGGAATTACGAGGATCAAAACAATGTGTGAAGCCCTTTGTAAAGTGCTATACAAAAGCCATTGTTCCTGTTGCACATAAAAATGAAGAGGAAGAATGGGATAGCATACAGATTCAAGGAGAGAGGGAATAATTAATGTTTTCCTTTCATGCCCCTTCATTACGGTTTTAAACATATTTGTATAGGGTAACAGACCAAATATTTTATTCATTTATCTCAGATTTTCATCATGGAAGCCAAAACGTGTGTGTGTGTATGTGTGACACACACACACACACACACACACACACACACACACAAATACTAGTCCCAAACTCTTCTGACTAGGAAAGCTAAAATCCAGATGTTCAGGTTTTTATTACTTACTATATGCAACCTTGCAAGTAATTCACTTTTTTGCTCTTCTATAAAACTCAGCTACATTTGCTGTCAGGACTAGTGTTCAGCAGTCCCTTGTCAAAAGAATTGATCAGCTATCAGCAGATCATGTTACTTAGATTATTCCAGAGACCAGTGGTAATAGTTGGGTTCCCAGCCCCCTAGGCTTTTCATGTGAGAGAACCAGGGGACATTTAAGGGCTGTTTAAGTGTCTAGCTATATCAAAAAGAAGCTGGAATAAATGAGTTCAAGAAAAGAGAAAAACTGCCTACAGTTTGCATGCATTAAGTTATAGTAGCTCGAGTGGCCAAATGCTTTTCTGTTTTAATTCTCAAGAGTGGAGAGAACTGCCGTCCCTCACATGGTACCAATGCTCGACACTGGAACAGCCAGCTGGCCCTCTGGAGACCACATTTTATTGTCTTTTGCTAGGAAGTTTTTAATCCTCTCTTAACCAAGATGTTTTCAAAGTTCAGAGTGACATTAAGAGACGACAGCAAGGCATTAAAAAAAATCTTAGCTAATATTAGGACTCATTCTGCCACTTCCTCCATTCAAGGTTACTTCACAGCCAACTTGTCTAGGCAGGAGGCTGGACAAGAAGTCTCCTAACAGGATCCTTCCTAGAAAAGAGGCATGTATGGTTTTAAAAATAACAGATACTTCTTCTTGGACAGTTTATTTGGCAGAGTAAATATTCTGAAGTGAACCTTTACAAGTTAAGTAACTGAAAAGTTGAAGCTCAGAACACTGCCTCTCTGGTTGAGTTTTGAGGTACATTTGAGAAGATAAACGGGGGGACTTTTCCAGGGGCTGGAAGGTACACTGTCAGTTAGAGGACCAATGCATATGTTGTTTTGCTTTGTTTTCCAGATTTGGTGGGAGAAAAAAATAGTGCATTTTCTCTCTCTTGGGCTCTTGTTGCACACATACTTGTAAAACCCATTTGGTCAATATAATCTGTCTTGTGAAAAGCAGCAAAGTCACCAAGAAGGAGAGGAGTGGCATGGAGAAATGTTCAAATCACCAAATGATTTTCTTGTAATAGCTGAGGTGTGTCACTGTTTTTTTTAAGTTTATTTATTTATTTTGAGAGAGAAAGAGAGAGTGGGGGTGGGTTGGGCAGAGAGAGAATCCCAAGCAGGCTCCATGCTGTCAGCACAGCCTAACTTGGGGCTTGATCCCACGAACCATGAGATCATGACCTGAGTTGAAACAGAGTCGGAGGCTTAATCGACTGAGCCACCCAGGCACCCCAACTGAGATGTGTCATTGTAACATCACTGTTCTCAACTACAAAAGGCCCTTCTGCATCTGACTACAGGGTGACTTGAAGTCCTATATTTATTTACTACAGCTTGAGCAAAAGCTGGAAAAGTGACCTGTTAGGAAATGTTTTAGGCATACTGACTTTTGCACAAATAGATACGTTCAGTATGTAGGTAAACATATGCATGTTTTGGCTTTAACAGAATCTTTGACAAATGTACTCTTTATTTTATATTCTTGGCCATATCTCATATGAGTCCTTCCACACATATCATTGTTGTCATAAATTCATCACCGGGAACTATAAAATAGCCAAATTGTGAGTTATTAGGAAGATGGCTTTCAACAAGTAGCTGAACATTGAATAACTCGAATTCATATTTTAGTAGCTGGGCTTGGGGAATCAAAAGGGTTTTTGTTTCCAGATTTTCCTTTATGAAATAACTCACACACTTAAGTATAATAAATACTCTCACTTACCAATGCTGGTGACAGTGACACATATCCTAGCAATTTCTTGTACTGCTCGAAGGTGAAAAACTGTGAAATAAAACCAAACCCAGAGATTTATAACAATTTCCTGCAACAAACCCTTTAATTGACTCAAATTTCTTTAGTCAATCATTATATTAACCAGCATTTTAGAAAATGATAAACCATCGAACATAGTTTTTAATCTGGTCTCGGGTAGTTACTATTGAATCTTACTTTACCATTGGCATTTTCAAATGCAACTATAATAACCTACAGAAGAGCTGATGGAATCCTTTATAGCAGTAAATGAAGCATACAGCTTCCATTTACCATGACCATTTTCAGTTTCCCCAGACATCAATAGACTTCTTTTTTATGGCAGTGATTCAAAATTATAGGCATAGAGACCTGAAATCTCTGGTCTCCTATGTTTTCTCTCTGAACTGCTTTCCCAGTGAATGCCCAATTTTCTAGCCCACTTGTAAAAGACATCCACTTCTCATCTTTAACTTGAATTTATATTGCTGTGTATCTCTCTTGTTTCATGGAATGTTTAAACACTCACTGATGACGAAGACAGCATGGTAAAACGGAGAAAGACCTAACGAGGTCAGCTTGTCCATCCTGACTTAAAGCAAGACTGTCTTCAACGTGAATAAAGAAAGAGCGCTGTTTATTCTTTCCTTTAAAATTTGATGATGATGAAGATTTTGTATATTCCTTCATTAGGTAACATGTAATAGAATTTTCTCTGCAAATAAATTTCTATGGAGGCAAATCTAATCAGACTTCATACAATGTTCCCCAATACATTTCTCTCCTCTCTTTCTGTACTCTGCATTTTGGGCAACGACTCTGCTTGATCATGATGTTTTGCTCCTGGGTGCTCTTTTAGGTAGCTGCCTATATCACTGATAGGGCACAATCTTAGGTCCTGCTAGGGTCTGATTTTTAAGACCCCAGAAATGGCACGGTCTCAAGTGTCTTCTACTCTATACTTTACAATCCAATAAAATGGGGGAAGGAAAAAAAGTGGAATTGGGGGTGAAATAATACTCTGTTGTTAGAAGGAGGTAGTTCCATGTAGACATGGCTCCATGAGTCGTTGGGTAGACCTAAAATCATTTTATCACTGGATAGATTTTGATCCTTTTAAAGACTCAGGAATGACTTTTGTGTCATGCTTCTATAGCTCAACTATGGATGTAGACTTTTGGAAGGAAAAGTTATTGTCTTAGGCTTTAAAGATAAGTTTTTTCCTTCGTTTTTTTTTTTTTTTTT